GGGGCCCCCCTCTGTAGAGGGGAAAAAAAAACTCCCCAAAAAAAATTTTTATGGTTGCTCGTTTTAAAAAAAAAAAAAAAAAAAAAAAAAGGCCCTTCGTAGATGGCGTCACTAGACTCTTGGCTATGGAGAAACACTTAAGTTTTGGATCTTACGCAATTAACATTTGGCGGTGACGTTATGCAGCTTACCGGAAATGGTCTTTGCTGTGTCGACCAGTGGGGGCAGCATTAAATGCTTACAGCGTTTAGCCTGCTGGAAATTTATTAGAACAAGTCTTCGCTGGAAGCGGCCGTCCTCCACTACAAAGAGAGAAATGCCGAGTTGAACGAGGCGGCTGCTAATTTTACTTCAGTGTTTGGAAGCGTGACCAACACAAACTGAACGGATTTGTTCACTTCCTCCGCTGCTATTGCTAAAACTACAAGCTTATTGGGTAGCGGGGGGGTGGGGGGGATTTCCCCATGAAGGAAAATTGACGTCATTGTTCACAACTTCGTCTTCTGTTCCCTGATTGGCCCGGTTGAAATTCTAACGGAGGAATAAAAATCAAAAGTGAGAATAACGTAGGAAGACATGCATTTCTTCGTCCTTTCTGCACGGTTGAATAAAAACCATCTTCGGTTCCTGCAGGTGCACAGAGTGCCAGAAAACGTTCCAGTACCCGAGTCAGCTTCAGAACCACATGATGAAACACAAGGACATCAGACCGTACATCTGCAGCGAGTGTGGGATGGAGTTCATCCAGTCGCACCACCTGAAGCAGCACACCCTCACTCACAAAGTAGGTTCAAAAGGAAGGGAATGCAAAACAGAAACCAATATATTTGAGAGAAGAGGTGGCTGAAATGCACATTTTAAGCTTCAGCAAATCCAAGTATGATTTATAACTTTACAGATGATTAAAGGAAAATGGAAGCATTTTTCTCACGCTTATTTGTTTTGAAATTAAACCCAATACTTCCTCCTTGTGAACCGTTTATTTTAAAACGAAGCATTACAATAAAAGAAAAATATCTTTATTATTCATGCCAATAAACATAAGGGAAATTCCAGCAATTTAATTTCAGGTAAGAAAACATCCAGTAATGCATGAGTCAGTGCAATTTCTTCAACGTAAGATCAATACTTAAAACTTTAACAAGTATGTTTTACTCTTTAGCTGTTATTGATGCCAAGAATGTTTTACTTGAAGGGTTGCCATAAATTCATTACAGCTTGCCTTTGCCATGCCATTATAAAAACACAGTGTTTGCTGCATATTTAATGTTTTTACTTTAAATGTTGAATAAACACTGTTTATTCAAATATTTTGCACTGCGCAGTGCAAAATATTTATACATTAAACACCATAGAGCTAGGGTATCAAACTCATCAAAATCGCAAATGTCCTCAAAGGGCAGAATGTGTTGGTAACATTAACAAATTGTTTAAGATATTGATAAACACCCGTCTCTGCATTTTATGAGTGCTTCTTGAAATTAAATCAACCTGTCGCATTGAATTTGGCAGTACACAAATAAAACTGCTCTGATTTGATTGATGATATTGAATCACACAGCTGTTATCTTGAAAGCTTCATTTGTGTGACCAGATTTGGCCCCCGGGCCTCGAGTTTATGACACACTTGATGTTGAGTTCCTGTCCAGAGCTCGACATTTTCTAAGATTTATCTTTCACCTCTCGTGTTCTTGCTCTTTAGGGGGTGAAGGAGCACAAGTGTCGCATCTGCGGCCGCGAGTTCACACTGTTGGCCAACATGAAGCGCCACGTCCTCATCCACACCAACATACGGGCCTACCAGTGCCACATGTGCTTCAAGAGCTTCGTCCAGAAGCAGACTCTCAAGGCTCACATGATCGTCCACTCGGACATCAAGCCCTATAAATGCAAGGTTGGTCAAATGTTGGTCTGAGGTGGAGATATTTGGATTTATATTTGTATATTCCTGTAACTTTTCTTTTGTGCACAAAAACGGAGTCATGGGGTCTTGACAAACTAAATGCAGAAAAGGGAAACAGAGGAATTTATCAATGTGCCAAATGATAACTCACATTTGTGTGGAAAAGGTGAATTGTTTTGCATGCACAATACGGTCATCGAGGGTCCAGATTTATTGTAAGGATAAACCATTCCAACCAATCTGAGGTGTTCCCTGCTGTCAAAGAAAGTTCCTTCTTTTCTGGAGTGACCTATGTGTTATAAGCGCTGAGACGATGACCAGATAGCAGAGAGGCTCATGGGAGTGGGAGCCTCCTCGTCCATAGGAAGGATATAGCGGTGCAAACCGCCTTTCTAACAATGGCCCCCCCAGCCTCCCCAGAGAACAGGCCCCACAAATAGATTTCATCTCGCTTTCTCTGCTGCTCGAGGGAGCTTCCTGTTTTCTCACGGTCCTCTTGGACAGTTTACAGTCCCTCTCTCCTCCTGAAGGAAAGGACCACCCTAATAAAAAAGAATGCAGAGGAAGGACAGCGCAGGAGTTGCCCTTCCCTGTTCTCCTCCTGGCCCTGTCTCAGGGTTGCTTCCTCTCTCCTTCTGCCTCTAGCGCTTTCTGTTTTTCTTGTGCGAGTGCGTGTTTGCGTGTGTGTGTGTGTTAGAAGTGAGAGAGGGAGGGTGAAGACAGAGAGGAAAACAGAAAAACAAGGATAGAGGGAGGAAGAAAGGGTGTGTGTCCTATTGTCTGCACATTCATTCATGATTACGTGTTGCTTTGCTATTCTGTGATTAACAGAGAGGAAAAGTCTGAGATTAGCTTTGAGATGCTGCAGAGGAATACATTTGCTGAAGTTATATCGAAGTACAGTTTCATGATTTCATTTTTCTTTTTATGGCAAATAAATGTTAGTTTTGTGCATTTAATCCAACTTCCATTAAAAATATTCTGTAAAGTTTTGCTGCTGCAGGCAAATCTTAACATCCACTAAAGTGTAGGACCTTAAATATTAACCTACTTGCAGTTTATCATAAGATGAAATAATAGTTTCCCAGTTCAAGCTGGCATAAACATAATACCATTACAATCAGGAAGGAAGGATAAAGAAATATTGCATATTTGATAAGTCTAAATGTTAGAATAACATCTAACATGTCCATGAATTAGCTTAACCTTAAATTTCTAGAATGCAAAATGAAATTTCTAACTCTATTTTTTTGTTACACTTGTGGACACAATCATTGATGTTGAATACAGTAAATCCTTTACAATTGAGTGATATTGGAAGGAAAGAACGTGACAAGCATCCTGCAAAAGACGAAACTGGATTCAGAACAGCTAAAAGCAGCATTAGCATCTCGCTTGCTAATCAGAAACCTTACATCGTATGTAATTTCTTCTCTTTCAGCTTTGTGGGAAGGAATTTAACAGAATGCACAACCTAATGGGACACATGCATCTTCACTCGGACAGCAAACCCTTCAAATGCCTCTACTGCCCCAGCAAGTTCACTTTGAAGGGGAACCTCACCAGACACATGAAGGTTAAACACGGAGTCATGGACAGAGGGCTGGACGAAAGATGTAAGTAGGAAAACACTGCAAGGATTTAACATTTTCGTCAGTAAAAGTCGCTAAACGTTTTAACATGTCCTTGATCTTAGTGTTTCGTCAAAGAGGACGCCTCTGCCTGAACAGCTCCATGGGCCTCATCTCCCACTATAGCCAAGAGGAACCGTTCGACCTCTCCCAGAAAGCTCCAGGCATGCCCAGCCTCCGTCTCTCACAGTCTGACGGCGAAAGCATCCCAGGAAGCTCCTGTCAGGAGGAGGATGAGGAGAGTTTGTACAGAAGGAGCCAGTACAGTCCAGAGGTGGATCAGCAAGAGCCCCCAGGCGCGGACCAGTACATTTCTGACCTGAAGGAGGGAGAGGACGGTCGGGCTGATGAACTTCGAACTGGCAAGATGCCGAAACTAAAGAAGTACCTGGATAGTTCAGAGGACGAGTCTTTGGAAGGAGAGAAAAAATCACAAGGTCAATTTGGTAATACACGCCGCCTCCTGCAGTCAGAATCCTCTGATGAATCTGATGAAGAGGTGGATGAGCAGGGATACGCTGAAAGAGTCCGCTCCGAGTCATTTGACTATGACTCGATTTCAGAAGACGAGCGTGAGGAAAGCAAACAGCCGCTGGATGGTAGTTATGAAGGCATCGACGTAACAGAGGAAAACTGAAAGAGAGTTGATAGAGCACACAAAAGAAATTACAAGTTAAATCACGAATTGGAGAGTGAGAAAATGTTAATGGCAAAAGTGTCTCTATTAGTAGCCATACAAAGACAATAAATATTTATTTTGTCTGACATTAAATTGGACAAAACCTTTCCTACTTTAGGTCAGATACAATTTTACAAATGGTTTCTATGTGCCTGAAATAGCAAGATTCCTTATATATTTTATCACTTTCTTTCAAATTGACATACATCAATATCATAATTCATTTAAACAACTGGAGAAAAAGATCAAATGAAGGTGCCATGGCACCATAAGATCTTGAGATAGAAATCCACAACATTTGAATTGGTTTAAGTTACAGCTGTGAAATCAACATCGCAAACACACCAATTCATTTGTGACATAAATTAATAAATGGAATAAAATTTAAAAAGGAGACATTCGGAAGAAAACTGTGGACGATTTCAAGATGCCCAACAGTGTTCATCTGTTTAAAAATAAAGTAATGGGAATGTCCAGAAAGAGGTCAGAGATTATGATTTTGTGTTTGATCTTCAATTGTATTTTTAATTCTAACATATTGTGTTCATATGCAGATCAGAAAATACACATGGATGCTTAAAGCTGTGAATTGCTACCAATATCAGACATTGGGAATATATTCTGATTTATAAATGAGAATTAATTTGTAAATATAATGAAAGATTTATTTAATGTGCTATTTTTTACAAATCGATTTGTAATGTTCACATGATTTTGCTTCAACTGTGACTGAATTGTGTTACTTGGCATGTTTGAAGACAGTTTTTGTGGGAGATCATGCGAAAACCAAACTGTAATCAGGTTCCAACAGCACAAATTTGACTTGTGTAATAAACTGTGATTTAGTTTCTTTAGTGTCTAAATTTTGAATCTGTATGATTTAATAAGATTATTGTTCTCATCTGCTGTGTGGGTTTTCTGTCCTACTGCTGTTAAATTGTAGCAATAACATGTTTCTACTGAATAAACACAAAATAAAATTCTCTTATTTTATTTTTTTCGGAGTAATTTTAAAGATGGCGTTAGATTTTCATCCTGTCTGACCGACAAGTGCTTCCCCAAACATTAGATGGTTGCTGCAAGTTTCAAACAGCTTGCATTGCTCCCTCTGCTTCTCTTTCAAAGCAGAGGAAGAGAAAGAGAAAACACCTATCCCCTTCTGTCTTTTAGGTTGTGATCAAACAGTGACGGACACAGTGGGTGTCCCAGACAAAAGCTTTGTGTCTGTGCGACTCAGAGTAAAGCATTGTTACTCCTCATTGCAGAAGAATCTACTAAAACTAAAATTACTGCTTTTTCTAAAGATTGGTGCCTGAACAATGGTTTCCATGCTAAATAACACATGACTGTGCAGAACAGCTCACGGGGTCATGTGTGAGCCTTCCTGCATTAGAAAGCAATAAATGCAACCTAGTGTTTGTGTTGTTTCACGCAACAGCGCCCATCACTCGTTTCCACCTCACGCTATCGTGCCAGTTCAGGTAAACGCAGTCATTTCTTGTTAGGTGAAATGCAGAACAGCAGCTTCTCCATTTCTGCCCAGCCACGACCACCGTGTCCCAGAGGGCGAAACTGCAAACAGTTTGAGGAAGTTCTCACATCCTCCTCCTCTTTCCTTTCCTCACCTACACGTTTCAATCCCAGCCCCTGGCTTTGAGAAAAAAAGCCACAAACGGTGCATATCTGTCGTCAACAGTCAGCTCCTCTCAAAGGAATCTCATTGTCTCGTGTGTGTGTAACCAGTTCCAGCTTGGAGGTTTGAGGAAAGGTAGATTTTTACATGGTGTTGCCGTCAGTATGATGCTTTTTCATGAACTGAAACTTAGGAGAGAATGAGAAGTCAAAGAATATGCAGAAATGCACTGCAGGTAGAGGTTTTTCTTCAGAAAAAGAACACACTGCAACAAAGTGGAGGGATTCTGTAGCACAGATAGAGAAAGAGGTTTTTACCCAAGTAAAAACTTTTGCTTTTTACTTTTACTTCAGTAAAAGTATACTGATGTAGCACTAGTCTTACTTAAATAACCTTTTTGAACACTACCCACCTATGATCATCACAAACAATTTGGATGTTGTGTAAAAGTGCAGTATTTCTTACCAGTCATCTCAAAAAGTGAAACGGTCATTTTATAGGAATTCATTTCAAAAAGCGAAATATTTCCAGCTTTCATTTTTTGCAGTTTTGATAATTATGTCCTACAGGTAAAGAAACCCCAACATTTAGTGTCTCAGAAAATTAGAATGTCACATTGACTCAATTAATAACATGTTTTAAGCACAAAAGTATTTACATTTCTGTGCACTCGATACTTGGTTAGGGCTCCTCTTGAATGAATTACTGCATCAATGCGGTGTGGTATGGAGCCAATCAGCTTGTGGTGGAAGCCCAGGTTGCTTGGATACCTGCCTTCAAGTCACCTGAAAGGGTTAAAGGTCAGGGGAGGTTGCTGGCCCATCAATAAGAGGAATACATGGCCACTGAACCAGCTTTTAGTACCTTTGGCAGTGTGAGCAGGTGCCAGGTCCTGCTGGGAAAATAAAATCAGCATCTCCGTACAGCTTGTCAGTAGAAGGAAATATGAAGTGCTCCAGAATTTCCTGGTAGACAGCTGCATTGTCTGTGGACTTCAGAAAACACAGTGGATCCAAACCAGCAGATGGCATGGATATAAAACCGAAATAATTTAAAGAAATACATAAAGATCAAAAGGCTAACAAAAAAGTAATAAGTGTGGGTGTTTTGGGGGAAACCTCATATGTAAGCATGATGAGTTAAGAACATTTATGAATTGTCACCTTTCGTAAAAGTTCCTACTACTGCTACCTCTAATTGAGTATTTTCTTGAGCTGAAGAAAAGTCTTTGTATCCCTAAGCCATCTAGACCCAGAGGGAGCAAAAGCAGACTGCCAGAGGAGCAATGTGTGTCACCTAGCCGACAGAAAAGAGAAAGAAATGACAGCTAGGTGATCAGAGGAAAATTCTTTAAAGTCCTCTGGGAGGCTGAATATAGCAATACGGGGTGAGAGGTTCGTGTTTCCAGATAGTACTTTAGGCATGGTATTGCAGGAAATCTGCGAAAACACTGTACCAGTAGGCAGGTATGAACTATATGAGTGAGGTGTCACGATGAGGTGTATCACCAGGAATCAACTATGCTGTTACAGATTTGTGAGAGAGAGCTGATCATTGTAGAACATTCTAGAAAACTATAACTGAACAAGCAGGAAGCAAATTGAGCTAGTATGGATAGTTTGGTGGCAAATTTCCAACCAGTCGTTTTGCAGGGTGAACCTCAGGTCACCTTTCAAGTTGTTTTGAGATTAGATATACGTGGAGAACTGGAGAGAAGTGACCTATTCGAAATTAAAGGGGCTCTATTGTGTAAATTTGACTGTTTTGAGCTTTACATCATGTTATATCATAATTCCCTCATCAAAAACAGACATGGAGTGTTGCCTTGATTCTTTTATGCATGTTTGAGAAATCTCTTAAATCTTGCGTGTCAGCCATTGGGGGTGGATAAACTCTTGCTCTCACCAAGCCCCACCTTTTCCACGGAGCTCCTCCTCAGAGCTGCAGTCTCCAGCCAAGCTTCCGCCTCACAGAGCTTCCTTCCCCCACTCAGCTCCTCCAGACTAGCGGCAGCAGCAATTAGTAAATACCTGGTGGAACTACATCTGCTGACCTCATCCTACAAACTACTTCTCAGTGCAACACTCCTCAGAGCAATTTTAAAGGCTTAAATGAGAAACGTTGCTGTGATGACATGCTGAAGGCAGAATGTTGGAAAGAGCAGGAGCTTCTTAAAGAGACACAAGTGTTGAATTGTGAAGTGAAATTTATTTTACATCATGTTTGATGTATATAACATTTTATGACAACTCAAGGATACCATAGTTACTTGATTGTGCTATAAAATGGCACTATGTGCCTGGAAAATACATAATACAGCCCCTTAAACAACTTTGCCGGCTTCTTACCTTCTATAGATATATATTTAGTGTATTACATGTGATTATACATAACGGTCTTCTGTCTGATATTACCCTGCTTCAGTAAAAGTTATTAAGTAGTTTGTAGACTGCAGTACAGCATTTCTGTGCCTTACTTGTTTCATTCCACTGAAAGCCAGTCCACCTGAGCGACAGGTGTTATTATAGAAACCAGTAGCTCTGCATATTATTGAAGCTGAGCCAAGCTTCAAGAAAACATAAAGCCACACACCGACATGCCAGCTACTGCAGTCTGTCGGGTGCCATTGTGTACCGACACGTGTCAAACAATGCACTTTTTAAGTCACGTTGCCTTTTCCTCACCTAAGTGCACTCATGCCATTCTGCACCGTGTATGTGGTGTGAAAAAAGGAAGCAGAGAGAGGTATTGAAAATAAATACTTCTGAATTTTTTTGTTTACTGGAACACAGAGGTAAATGGGAAGGTTTCTGGGTGATGGACGAAAGAAAACAAGTCTGAAGCAGGTTTTCACTGAAATAAACAAAACAAAATAGTTCTAAGATTGGAGCTTAATCGTAGCTGTATATCTCTAACAACATGGTGAGCTCTGACAGAGTGCATTTCAGGTACAAGCTTCCTGTTTTGCTCATCAGCAAGAAATCCACATGATGCTAAAATGTCTTCCATGTTTTGTTTATTAAAACCGTCCACACCCCAGTCTCAACCTGTCACCGTGTTTGACCCACAGCCAGTGGGTTTACTGTAATAATATTTAAAGGCTTTCCTGCTGGGGTATTTATGGAGATCAAAAACATTGGCACAATAACAGACAGGTGATAGGTCAGCAACACAGACATTCACAGGACATATGAAGTATTTTACCACACTCAGTTTTTGCACAGTTGCAGCTTTTAGTCATTTAGAAATTATAAGCCTGATACAGAGTAGCTGACAACTGGGCTTGCAATATTTTAAATACATAGTTGCAGAAAGGCTCTGGGCAGAATGCCAGCTGATATGCTATAGTTCAAGATCGCCCTCTACTGACAACTTTCTGTGTTTTCTTTAACAGTTTAAACAGCTTTGTCAATCAAATCAAATTAAAAACTTCACTCCAGCAGTGAAAGTGCTTTACCAAAAAAAAAAAAAAAAAAAAAAAAAAAAAAACAAATTATTTATTAAAATTTTTTTTTGCTTTAAAATTCTTAAAAATGGTGAAAAAAGGGAAATTCTCT